TCTAGGTTAGCGAAGAACCTCAAAATTGCTAAAATGTTAGGCCAAGGTTTTCAACCCTGCCTTAAAAACCTTGGACCCTAGGAATCCATCCGCCTAGAGGTGGCTGAATACCTTGGCACTACCCCCCTGTGCACACCCAACCCCTATAAAATACATCAATAAAAAATATCAATGCATCAACAAAAATATTAGGAAGGAAAGAGGGAGGAAGGAAGGATAAATATAAATAAACCCTAAACCAACCCTACATAAATCCTAAACCGCCTAAACCAACCTTAAATCTAAGATTAATTATCAAAGGAAGTTTAGAAGTTAAACTTCCGACAATATGGACAGATGAAAAGCAGAGCAGGGAAGAGGCAGAGAGAAGAGAAAGATCAGAAGAAAGAAGAGTAGAAGAGAAAGAGTCAGAAGAAAGCAGATGCTGATGCGCGAAAAGGTAGGAAAGTCGCGAAACACGGTGTTTTCCCAATGATTTGGGGCTCCGGAGGGTCGAAAAGTAGGCTCGCTAAAGCGGCGGGTGCGGAGCCAGCTGGCCAGATGAGAGATGAAAAGTTGCACGCCGTTGTGGCGCGAAGCACATTTGGAAGTCAAACTGTTAAAAACACCAGGGGTTCGGACCACTTTTGGAAGTTGCGATGTCGAAAAAGTGCACGCCGTTGTGGCGCGAAGCACATTTTGAAGTCAAAATGTACAAAACACACCAGGTCCGGACCACTTTTGGCAGTTGCGATGTCGAAAAAGTGTACGCCGTTGTGGCGCGAAGCACATTTCGAAGTCAAAATGTACAAAACACACCATTCTCGGACCACTTTTGGAAGTTGAGATGTTGAAAAAGTGCGCGCCGTTGTGGCGCGAAGTACATTTCTAAGTCAAAATGTACAAAACACACCAGCTCCGGACCACTTTTGGCAGTTGAGATGTTGAAAAAGTGCGCGCCGTTGTGGCGCGAAGCACATTTCGAAGTCAAAATGTACAAAGCACTGGGGGTTCGGACCACTTTTGGAGGTTCAGATGTCGAAAAAGTGCACGCCGCTGTGGCGCGAAGCACATTTCGAAGTCAAAATGTTCAAAACACTAGGGGTTCGGACCACTTTTGGAGGTTCAGATGTCGCTTCGCTTCACTACACTACATCACACTACACTACACTACACTCCACTACACTACACTACATTACACTACACTCCGCAACATTACAACTACAACTACACAACTACACTTCACTACGCTAAATTACACTACACTCCACTACACTAAAATTACACTACACTACACTACATTACGCTACACTCCACTCCACTACACTACACTACATTACACTACACTACCTTCCACTACACTTCACTACATTACACTACACTCCACTACACTACAACTACAACTACAACTACACAACTACACTCCACTACACTCCACTACACTAAATTTCACTACGCTACACTACATTACACTACACTCCACTACACTACATTACACTACACTACACTCCACAACACTACAACTACACCTACACTCCACAGATAGATAGATAGATAGATAGACAGATAGATTAGATAGATAGATCGATGGATCGATAGATCGATAGATAGATAGGTAGATAGATAGATAGATAGATGGCCTGACAGGTAGATAAAAAGATAGATAGATAAATAGATAGATAGATAGATCGATAGATAGATAGATAGAAAGATGGACAGACAGACAGACAGACAGACAGATAGATAGATAGATAGACAGACAGATAGACAGACAGATAGATTAGTTAGTTAGTTGGTTAGTTTAGTTTAGTTTAGTGTAGTGTAGTTTAGTTTAGTTTAGTGTAGTGTAGTGTAGTTTAGTTTAGTTTAGTTGGTTAGTTAGTTAGTTAGTTAGTTAGTTAAGTAAGTAAGTAAGTTAGTTAGTTAGTTAAGTAAGTTAGTTAGCTAGTTAGTAAGTTAGTAAGTTAGTAAGTTAGTAAGTTAGTAAGTTAGTAAGTTAGTAAGTTAGTTAGTTAGTTAGTTAGTTAGTTAAGTAAGTTAAGTAAGTTAAGTAAGTTAAGTAAGTTAGTTAGCTAGTTAGTTAGTTAGTTAGTTAGTTAGCTAGTTAGTTAGATAGATAGATCGATAGGTAGATAGATAGGTAGGTAGGGAGATAGTCAGAGAAAGAGCGAGAAAGAGTGGGAGACCTCAAGCACCTTTCGGTCCATCAGTGGACTAGCTCTGCCATCCCTGATTCACAACAACCAACCTCTCCTATAGGTTTCCTATTTCTGAAACTTCCGCCACCGCCTTGTGCGGTACTACTGGTAGATAAAACCTAAACCAACCCTAAATAAACCATAAATGATAAAGTTCAAACCCGCCTGAAATAAACCTTACACCAAGCGTAAATAAACTTCAAACCAATTTCAACCAACCGTACATGAACCCCAAGCTACCCCAACATAGTTCCTAAACCAACCCTGGCTAAACCCTAAAGTGACCTTGAGCAAACCCTAAACCAACCCTGGACCAGGACCAACAATAACTCAACTTCCAACCAGCTTTAAACCAACCGCAAATAAGCCCGAAATACACCCTAAACCAACCCGAAAAAAACCGAAACCAATCCTTAAAAAACCAACCGTAAATAAATTCGAAACCACCCGAAACCAACCCTAATTAACATCTACATAAACCATGAACCAACCTTAAACAACTTATTAAACCAACCGTAAATAAACCTGACACCAATCCTAAACCAGCCGTAAGTCAACCCTAAACCAACCCTAACTAAACCCTAAACCGACCCTAAACCAACCCTAAATGAACCCTAAACCGACCCTAAACCAACCCTAAACCAACCGTAAATAAAACCTAAACCAACCCTAAACCAACCGTACATAAACTTCAAACCAACCCTACAACCCTAAACCAACCCTAAATAAACCCTAAATAAACCCTAAATAAACTATCAATCAGCTTCAATCAACCCGAAACCAGTCGTAAATAAACCCTAAACCAACCCTAAATAAACCTAAACCAACCGTAAATAAACTCTAGACCACCTTAAACCAACCCTAACTAAACGCTGAACCAATCCTGCAGAAACTTGAAACCAATCGCACAAAAAATCTTAAACCTATTGAAAATAATCCGCGAAACCAATCGTGAGTAGATCCTACAGTATGTAACATCTAAATAAACCCTGAACCAACCCCACCTAAATCATCATAAATCTTAAACCAACCCTAAACCAACCCCACGATCATAAATCTTAGCCACAACCCTAAACCAACCCTAAATAGACCAAAAAATCTTAAAACCATCCCTAAATCAACCCCGCCACCAACACTTGTCAGCAACCCATAGCTCTCCTCCTCCTCCTCCCCCTCCTCCTCGACTTCTCCTTGACTCCGCTCATCCTCCTCCAATCACATATTTTTTTTTGATGCGTTTATATTTTTGTCTTGATGCAGGCAGGATATTTTTTGATGCCTTTATATTTTTCCCCACCTGCCAGGTGAGGGTTAACTGTTAGATTTTATCAGAGTTGTTCTTCTCCTCCTCGGCTAGCTGTCCTCCTTATCCTCCTCCTCTGCCTCCTCCTCTAGTTTCTCCTCGACCATGTCTGCATCAACTTCCACCTCCGCTTCCGCCTTGCCAACTCTTCGCCAAGCTCTTTGCCAACACTCTTCGCCAAGCTCTTTGCCAACTTCCCAGCTCAGTGTGCACCGCAGGACCTCAACCTGGGACCTTCCCAGCTCAGTGCGCACTGCTGGACCTCAACCTGGGACCTTCCCAGCTCAGTGCGCACTGCTGGACCTCAACCTGGGACCTTCCCAGCTCAGTGCGCACTGCTGGACCTCAACCTGGGACCTTTCCAGCTCAGTGTGCGCCGCTGGACCTCAACCTGAGACCTTCCCAGCTCAGTGAGCACCGCTGGACCTCAACCTGGGACCTTCCCAGCTCAGTGTGCACCGCTGGACCTCAACGGCCAGATAAAGTGCCAGAAGAGATGCCAGATAGAATGTCAGATAGAATGCCAGAAGATATGCCAGATAAAATGCCAGAAGATATGCCAGAACATATGCCAGAAGATATGCCAGATAGAATGCCAGAAGGTATGCCAGATAAAGTGCCAGAAGGTATGCCAGATAAAATGCCAGATAGAATGCCAGAAGATTTGCCAGATAATATGCCAGAAGATATGCCAGGTAGAATGCCAGAAGGTATGCCAGATAGAATGCCAGAAGATATGTTTGATAGAATGCCAGAAGATTTGCCAGAACATATGCCAGAACATATGCCAGATAGAATGCCAGAAGGTATGCCAGATAAAGTGCCAGAAGGTATGCCAGATAAAGTGCCAGAAGGTATGCCAGATAGAATGCCAGATAAAATGTCAGATAGAATGCCAGAAGATATGCCAGATAAAGTGCCAGAATGTTTGCCAGATAGAATGCCAGAGTTGCCAGATAATATGCCAGAAGATGCCAGATAGAATGCCAGATATGCCAGATATGCCATAGATGCCAGAAGATATGCCAGATAGAATGCCAGAAGATATGCCAGATAGAATGCCAGAAGCCATATGCCAGAACATATGCCAGAAGATATGCCAGATAGAATGCCAGAAGGTATGCCAGATAAAGTGCCAGAAGGTATGCCAGATAAAATGCCAGATAGAATGCCAGAAGATTTGCCAGATAATATGCCAGAAGATATGCCAGGTAGAATGCCAGAAGGTATGCCAGATAGAATGCCAGAAGATATGCCAGATAAAGCGCCAGAATGTTTGCCAGATAGAATGCCAGAAGATTTGCCAGATAGAATGGCAGAAGATATGTTTGATAGAATGCCAGAAGATATGCCAGTAACAAAATGTATAAATGTCATGGTGGGGATCACACGAAGTAAAGTAATTTTGAGCAATGTCCCACGATCTATCGCGAGTAACTTCATGCAGTGTCGATGAAACATGTGAAACTGCCTGTGAAGCTGTAAAGAACCAGGTGAATCAGCTCATGACGAAACTTGAGGTTGGATTTGCAGCAATTTCAGACAAACAGTTTGCTTACTGTGCCCTGATATCTTCCAGTGCGATGGCAGCAATATTTGCAACAGTCCTGCTGTGGGGCACGGCTACTTGGCAAGTTAACTTGGAGGGAAATGGTTTTCCCAGTGCGTTGGAGTTCCCTGATCCCTGGGGGGTTTGTCGGTGTTTGTGCACTTTTGCCATCCAGTTTTTCAATATTCTGACTTGCCTAGCAGCTTAGCACATATCATCGCTTGTTCAATCTGGGATCCGGTCAAAAATCACTAGTAAGGACAAAAAGTAAATCAAGTTGCGAAAATAATTCTAGACAATAAGTTTTTAGTCTTCATGATGTAACGGGCACCCAACTAAACACGGCATTTCTGCAGTTTGGCGCTAGGTTCGCGTTAGCAGTGCGCTAGCATTTTTCGGTTTTAGCATTCCCATGAAATAGAGTTCACTTGTACATTTGGCTTGGTGTTGGAAGGCAGTTTCTTCGTATTAGATCGTATTAGTATTGTGTGGAATTGACATGGTATTGAGATGATGTGACAGTTTGTTGTTTGCCAACACTATCCCGAATGCTTTGCAGTGGTATGGACGTTTTGAATTTCGCAAAGTTCAGTCATTGCATTTTTTCTGAGAACCCCCAATACTTGTCACACATATTTCCAAAAGTAGTGCAGTCATCCGCGCTAGCCTGGTGCTAGCGCCGGGCTAGATCCGCGCTAGCGAACATGTGGCAATACCAGCCCTGGCCCAGAAGTCAAACATTTGTTGTGGCACTTCTTTAGGCTCGAAACATGAGCGGGGTTGACGTCAAATGTAAGCACCAAAGATTAGGGAAGTACCAAAGAGTAGGGCTCGAATAGGTTAGGAAAGTACCAAAGAGAGATCCAAAGAGCTTTACAAGTAAAGCGTGCCAGAGGCACTCACCAAAGGCGATCACTGCAGGATATGGCACAAGAATCAGGCAGTAGCACGCCATTCTCCTCATCCGAGAGTGGTTGAAAGTGCCGCGCGCTAGCGACGTTCTCAACGAAATGCAACAATGAATCTTCCCCCTTTGATTCCCTGTGGTTTAGAAGACATAGCAAGATACATGTCGCAGAAGTAGAGTTATGTAGCGGGCTCCCAGCTATTACGACTTTTGCACACTTCTGGGAAAAGACATTTTGACCAGCCACCCTATCCACATCAAATAGTCCATCCTGAATCATCTGCGTCGAATTCAGGAGCTTGATACATGGGCTGAACCCACCACTTTCCTCAAAGACAGCAGCTATGTGCCGGCATCATTTGCAGTTGTGATTTTCACTGCAGGGGCGCGCCTTGGTCGCACCGACAGATACTTGTAGCTACTGGCAGCTAAACTCAATTGCACAATATTGCACATAATTACACCTCATGCGAATACAATTGAACCCGCACCCTTTTTCCATTCACGAAGCATTTGAACAGGGAAGAACATTCTATCAAACTACAAAACTTATGGCAAGACCACAAAAAGCATCAAACAACATCAAAAAACGTGAACATGTGTGAAAATTTGTGAAATAGAGACACCGTGAGACCACGTGACTCAGCTCACTCAAATTGATTCAAGGCATCCGTTGCTACCCTGTGTAATGCACAGTACGCGCTCGCGCGCGGAGTTCAGGCGTGTCACAGCTGAAGCGTTTGCACAGAGCAAACATCCTGCATAAATTTAGTCCACCTGTTCTGCAGATAACAAGTAACATCATGAAATCAAATGACCTTATGACTTTAAATGTTTTTGGAAGAGTCCTTTGTTTTCCGAAGTATGCATTTGATGCTAATGCCAATACCGCGCCACTAAAACCACAAGCATTCTGATTGCATTTTGGAATGTTTTGAATGAATTTGAATGGGACTTAACTCACGAATAGAGCAAATTGAGTCTGAACGTTGGTATGTATGCATGTACATGCTCCTGAGATGTACACACATGTATATGGCGGCACATGTGTATACAAGTGTGATTCATTGTACGTGTAGCATTTACCAGTCACAATCAACCTGTCACGATCTACACTTTATTTCAGATCGAGTAAAGACGCCCTCTTCTAGCTTAGTGATTCAATTGCACCAAAGCAGACTCTGACTTGACTGTTCCCAACATTGCTCTTTTTAGAGCTTGTACGTGACTTCACCATACTTCACCAGGTTTGAAATTTGATTCCAATGTTTGAAACTGTTCCTGGGCACTCGTTTCCAGAATGTTTCACCACAACCTTTTGGACCTGCAGCTCATTTGATCGTTGGTGGCAGGTCTGCCATTCGTCTCTCGTGGACATTTTTTTCGTTGTTTGCAATCCTTAGCGGAGGTCTTGCATTTTACATGTACCTTGGCTTCAGCTCTGCTGAAATCTGCTACAGATATTAAATGATATTAGTATATATTCGCTTTGTTTTGGCCTTGAAATTCGAACTTGATGTTGGCTGCAAGTCCACAGTGACAAGGTATGGCCATTCTCTCCAGCCGCTCATCACAGAACCCCAATTGCACAAAGTTGTGGCTGACATCGACTGTAATTATTAACTTACATATGTTTCTTTTAGTTATCTCCGGACGTTGGACACGACTTGAGTCACTTAACTTCACTTGATTTTTGATATCTTTGGTTTGTGGCTTCCACTAGCTGTCACTTGCTTTTGAGTTTGCAGTGGAAACTGGGCCAATCTCTGACAGGACAATCTTGGACGAAACTTGGAGCTCATGAAGATGCCAGGACGAAGTGGCTTGAAGTGTGGGTAGATGTGACTAGAACTGACATGAACTGACATCTGTTTTACACATGTTTTCATTTTATCCAACAACTGTGTTTTACATTGACTGTTTGGTAGCTGCAGACTGTAGACTGACAAAACATGTTTTTGCGACGATTCACGATGATGAACACACACACACACACTAAAAGCCGTCAAGACCTGACTGGTTGCAGTGCTAATTTGGTTGTTTGTTCAATAGAATATAATGTTTCCCTGCTTGCTCAACGTTGCTGTTCGACATTGTTCGACGTGTAGTGAGAAAGCCATTCATCGGGGAGTTAGGGATGTGATTCTGGCGAGGAGGTGGAGCCATGCGAAAGACGGGTGGATTGTGGGTGCTTGCAACTTGACACATTCTTGGCACATCGCCATTTGCACATCTCTTGGCACAGCTCTTGGCACATCGCTGCACATCTCCACGTCTGAGGTGAAACTCTTCGGAAGCACTGTCCCAAGCACCAGACCACCAGTAGTTGCCCTTGGAAAGCAGTGACTCAACTGCGCTGCAGACTGCGCTGCAGAGAGGGCAGATAATTGGCATAGGTTGACATTGAAACCAGAGTCGAAAGCAGATGTGGGCGGACATTGAGACCCATTCAGCAAGAAAGTCTTGATGTTTGAAGAGTACCAAAACATTTGAAATGTTTGTGGAATGTCCTGAGCTTGAACCAGAGGCAGAGTGATGTTTGATGTACTAAAGATGTTCCGGCCATTTTCCGGCCCTTTCTCGAGGATTGGCATACGATTGCCAGCCGGAAATGGGGGTTTCTCTTCCGTTTTGCTGACTGCTCCGTTGCTCTATGCCATCCCGACACAGTTGCACTTTGACCGTTTCCTGAAAAATGAAGAAACAAATCCGAAGGAAGCCAATGACACATTTCAATAACTTAAATAACTTGCACCTTGTCAAATAGTTTATATATATATATATGCTTTTCAATGCTTTTCAGCAATTTCTGACCCCATTTGAGTGCCAGCTTTGGAGCAAAGCCAGGCCACAGCAGTGCTGTCACAGATCATCTCTCCGTACATCGCAACTTTCGAGAGATCCTTGGTACAGTTTGGTCCATGTGCTTTGCATTGGAACCATTGGAACCCTGACACAGCTTGCAAACTAACATAGATATTACATAGATAATATGACATTATATGACATTATCATACATTATCATATTCTCGGAATCAGCGCAGCTTCCAATCTCCGAAATAGTCATCGCCGGTTTTGCAGTGTGCGCAAGTCTTGTCCGCTAGTCCTGGAAGGGAGGGGCTCCTGGACAAGCCTTTCCCAGGTGTCATCGGATGTGCAGGGACCTCAACTGCTCATGCCAGAAGGATCCAAAAGGTATTCCAATTCTGACAGTAATCTGACAACAACTGAACAGTAGAGACAATATACTGTACCTCCGCATGACTGTACAAAAGAACACCAAACCATACCAAACCCAGTTTCGCTTCAGAAGGCAGAGGGCTAAGTTCAGACGTCCCAACCGCAGTCCGGGCCGTCTTTGACCATCTATGACTGCACTTTGGTTTGTAGACTGTTTGATGCAGAGTGTCTAATATCGACTTTAATGTTGGCTGGAGGCTTGAAAAGTGCATTACTTGCTGTATACTTTGATTCAAGGTCTTGATGAGTTTTGATCTTGATTTGTCCCACCATTGATTTCTTCGCTGTTTGGACCTTTCCAGAACTTGATCAGTGATTTACATTGATTTGCTACATGTATCCGTGTATCCATGCGTCGCATTTCACTTTGAATTGTGGAGGTCATCACCAGCTTCAATGCCTTGCTCTTCCCAAGCCTAACTTATCTAGTCATTTGTGGCCTGGATGCAAGAGTTGATTCCAAGACTGCAAACTGCCTTCCAGTGCCCTTCCTTATGGCTAAGTTGGTTGCAGCCCAACATTCTTGTTGACACTTCTTGATGTACGTAGTCTATCGTTTAATCACGTAGTATCTGCTTACTGTATGTTCAATGTATGTTTCTCCCTTTGTCATGTTTTGTTCATCAACGAAGTTCTCCTAAATTTCAGAGTTGCTGCGGCCATTTTTTTGGGGGGAGTTGTCACCAGTTCAAGATGCTTCCGAAGATTTTAAGATTGAGCTGCAACACACGCCGCAAACAAGTTGATCCAAACTCTAGACAGCCTGTAAAGTTCTGTCCTCAACCCAGGTCCGTTCTCGTTTGAAATTGTGTTCTCCGCATTTTGTTGAGCAAGTCTTTTCCAGTACTCCTCTAATAGCGAGAGGGAAGAAAAGCTTCGGAACATCCAGCTCTCTGATGAAAATGCAAGCGAACACTCTCTGATGAAAATGCAAGCGAATGCTCTCTGATGAAAATGCAAGCGAATGCTCTCTGATGAAAATGCAAGCGAACCGGAAACTGGTCCAGGAGCAAACAAATCAAATCCACCATGAATGTATAGGACTGGCCTTCTAAGGGTAGATACTCTTCATTCCATGGAGTCAGCAGAATCGGGATTCATCTCAGATGAGACGTGCAGTATCTACAGTTTGGATGACTTGGGGATTTTGAACGTTTGATCTTCTTTTCGTGCCCAGGTCAGCCAAAAGATATAGAGCATCGGATTTGTGCCCGATTTTTTCTACTTCTAGGCATGGAATTGGTGCTGAATCCGGGCTGCTGCGTCAAGTACCACTATGGACACTGTTGCAGTAGTGATTTGCAGGCGCTTTATTGCCATTTGCGACTATGCTTCCTCGATTGCTTGAGACATCTGGCTGAAGTTTGATTAGCAAGTTGACGTCAGAATTACCAGAAACATAAATAACATTTGGGCATGAACCACACCATCTTCAAGCGGGTTCTCTTACGCTTGTTTCCCTGAGTCTGGACATGACCGCCATAGAGGGGGAACTTTTAACAACATATTTTTTTGGCTGGAATATTTTTGCCATGTTTACGGAACTCCATTTTGCAGGAGCATGAGCATTGATCATGGGTTCAGTCTATGCAGGGTCCTTTTTGAATGTAGCAATCCACAATCTTCCTCATTTTCGAGTTAGCTCAAAACATGTAGCTGGCTCAATTTCAGAACGGGTCATGTGTTTGACTTTAATGTTGCGCGGCTGTCTAAGCAGATTTGGCCCAAGACGTGGCTCCTAAACTTCTGGGCTGCAACAGGGGGTACCATCTCTATTAAAGGAGTCATTTGGGACTGAGCCTGGCAATTGAACTCACATTGGGAAAAATTTGCGGGCTCGCTCAAGTGGAATGAGCTACCTCAGCAACACCGCGCTAGCTCAAACACATCCGAAACACATCGCTCTAGCTCAATGGCATCGAGCTGGCTCAATTTTTTTGAACGAAAAAAAACAAAAACAAACTCGAAAAAATTGAGCCAGCTACGTCACGTTGAGCTGGCGAACGAATGTGAAAGCAAGAAAACAAACATAATATGTATTGGCCGGGATGGTGGCGGCACACCGAGCTGGCTCAAGGGCATGTAGCTGGCTCATTTTTTTCGAAGTTTTTTTTGTTTTTTCCGTTCAAAAAATTTAGCCAGCTACGAGGCGCTGAGCCAGCAACGAGGCATTGAGCCAGCTACGTGGCACTGAGCCAGCAACGAGGGAATTGTGAATCTGCACTGTATGGGACCGATGGATTTTCCGATGCAGCCTTTGCAGTTCCAACAAATCAAATTATTGATTGATTCTGGCACCATGAGAGATAAAATAGAAGACTGGCAGTCTATACATATGTGTACATATATAACCCCAACCGTATAATTACGGTCAACCTGAGGCAACACAAGTTTTCTTGAGGGAGACGCGTACCCTTGAGCTGGAGGGAGATTGGGAAAAGTAACTTTCGACCTTTGTTTCTGCGACAAAAATCCAAAAGTACACGGCGCAGCTCCTTGCACCACAGACACTTTTGAGACCCGCGCCATCTAGCAACATGCCTTTTGGCTGACGTAAAGCTGAGGTGCTTCTGAAACATCATGCTCCTGAGTCTGAAACCTCACTCTGATACAACTCTGATCCGCTTCTTTACAGTTTTGATTCGTTCAGTGGATCAGTCCCTGGCGATGTGTGACACCGGGAACATTGGTGCTCGCTGCAAGATGCTTCACCACGGGCATTTTGCTGCCTTTGGAGCACAGGGTCATAGCATCGAATTCCCGGACTATTCCGAATAGTGCCAAACTGGTTTCCACCAAAGTGGTTCCGTGGGATTAATTCGGTATGCAATGCGCTGAAGCTTTTAGCACTTTTCAAATTCTTCAATCTTTCAGAGATTGGTGAAGCAAATCCACCGTGAGCGGCGCAGAAATCGAGCGCTCGCGGAATCTTTGGAGAAGAGCATGAATAGCTTTCAGTTGCTGTACGTGTTCCGTAACCGTTTCTTACTGGCGAACGGAGGAATGCATCAAGCAATCAAAAAAAATGTTGTGTCCTTGTCAAGCCCAGATCTTGTTGAAAACTGTGTCAGGACCTTCTCCAACGATTGGTTTGCCTCTCCTTTTTCAAAGCACCTTGTGCATCCTTGTGCAAGGTGTTTTGGGTACGCAAAACTCTTGATAGGTTTGGCTTTTCCCAGGAGATTCATAGCATTGTCGAGTCCCTGGAGAGTGAAGTATGGGCGATTTTGCTGATACCGTGGCATGAGCTGGACATGGAGCTGTTTGTAAATATGCGATTGCTGCGATTCTTTGGTGATTCTTGTATAAAGACCGACATGCTGGGAGAGGCAGACGCTGGGTGATTTTTGGTAGGGAAGATGCAGGAAGTGACAGTGATGATGCAGTCATCACTGCCATCGTTTTCCGTTTGTTCCAAACTTGTAGATGCAACACGGCAACATGATGCAACATGATGTAAGATGTTTGGTGATCAATTCTCCTCTTCCAGCAATGGCAGCTCTTCGTAAGATCCAGGCTGAAGCTGGTTGCCATGTAGGATTCCATGGGATTCCTTCATTTGATCCGATTTGAATCGATTTGATCCAGATCCTTTTCAGACAGCTTCTGCATGATTTATCCTTGCAAGACATGGGAATGCCGCGACGAACCAATTTTTGTGTTCCACTTTGATGCAGCACTTGGCTGAATCAAGCCGCTTAATGCGCTTAATGGCCGCTGAATGTTCATGTGTGGACCGGCGTCCAGTTGCTGTACATATGCGCTTGGGGAGAAATTCAGAGGTCTTGTCCTCCAGAAACTGATGCTGCCTATGCTAGGCCTATACCTAATCCTTGGCAATGGCCCGAAAAAAGGGAGTCACCAGACTTGTTGAAAGCAGCCTATGCCTTGACAAATCGTCCGCGTTTTTCAATGATTTACACTGTTAACTTTGATCGCATTTTTGGAGCTATGCTCCAGCAACCTTTTCGCATACTTTACTTGCTTTGACATGGAACTTGCTTTGGCTCCAGACACCGGGGCATGACTTGCATGCCGCACAGGACCCTGCAGAACAAAAGAAACATTCCCTTTTCGAAGCCTTGGACTGTGTGGTTTGGCAACGACTCATCAAAAAGTCATGGCTGTAGGTCAAGACTGATCACCCAAACATGGTGTTCTGCCTATTATATTATCACTCGTTCCTTTCTGTGATTTTATTGCGGCAGCACACTCAACATCCAGCATAACTATGACCCCACACATGGTGCCTACCAGACATTGCCAGACACATGTTGGTTTTGTCAGTTTTGTCAATCCGATCAAGCAATCATGCAACGTTTATTGCTAAAACTTTACTAAATGGGTCTTGCGACTGCCAGTGGCAGACGTGCTACATCTTAGCAAACTCCCAGCACTAGGATGCGTATCTACAAACTGCAATGCCGTGAGTCGCAATAGCTGCTGCGATGTGCAAGAATATTTTGGGTGCATTCTGACTGGTGGATTCGATTCAACATGAACGGCCCTGAAGGCAGCTGCTGGGAATGAGTGGTGTGAGAGCTTTCAGAAATTACATGAAATGATTTCCTTTTTTACAACCCCAAAGGAGACTAAACAGGACCAAGGAGAGCAGACGACAAAGGCATCTACGTTTTGGAAGAGACCGAATAAGACAAAGCTTGATTTGTTATGTTCGTTATAGGTCAGCAGCTCGGCTTGACACATGAATAACCTTCACCTGTTTGAGTGAACACCCCAACCGGACAAGCTTGAGAATCTGGAAAGGCCACGGGTCACATGCGTTTGTTGGAGTCAGAGACTTTTGAGACTTTCCAATTTTGATGTCATTCTGACTCTGTGTCATTCTGAGTCCTTTTGATGTCAGACAGTTTGGAAGACATAATATGTCATAACCGATGCCCGTTGATGCCCTTTGTCGTCGGGAGATGGTGTGAGATAGGTCTGAGAAGCACGATGCGCGAAAACTAAACGCATGAGCAACGAAGACCTCTTGCGTTTGTGCCTCATAGTCGTAGTTGATTGAAATGCTCGGAGTATGTAGGAAATGCAGGAAGGAGCAACACCTTGCAAGCGCTGCCGTTTTTGATGGTCACCGCCCCAGCGCTTCTGCACGAGTGTTACTCGCATCAGTTTTCTCTGGACAATGACAACTGGCTAGACTTCATTCCTTTGAGGTCTTTGGTGGCTGCATGTCGGCTGTCATTGCCATGGAGTATATTCTAAAGGCCTGCCGGGCTCTGTGTAGATCAATTTTCACACGCTGCTCTTTTTGGAAACAAACATCACGCCAATTTTAGACCAGGCGCAGAGGGTTTCAACACGTCTGATTTTCAACAGAAGAGATTCTGCGAGACCTTTAGATCACATTGCCAACACGCCCTTTTCACATCTTTTCACTCCGAAGTTCAGGCAAATCCCAAGGCCGGAAATCTCTTGAGCCTCTCAGAGTTGGGACCCAAGCAATGCTTGAGTGCCGGAAATCCACAAAGAAACATTGAATTATACAGGTCACATCATGTTGAATCATATTCATATTCATATGAATCAATGTTGGTCAATGAAAAGCAATTCAATTGTCAATATCTCCTAGGGACCGTTTTTTCTTGGAAGGTATATAATATAAATACTGCCACATTTTGAATTACAGCACCAGTCATGTCAGTTTCAGAGTGTTTTAATGTGTCTTAGATACTTTAAACTCCCTGGGGCTGCTCATCTTTGCCGGCACTGAATCTGTTTGGGGCATTTCTAGAGGCCTTTCACCATATTGCTCCAAATTGGATTTCAAGATACAGGTCCTTGGTGGTTGTTGCTTCTCTCATCTCCAACTGGGCCCATCCCTTGAGATATGCCTCTATGGTTTGCCTTTGATGCAAAGCCTTCCCAGGTTTGCCTTCGTTTTGATCCAGAGCCTTCCCAGCAGAATAGAGACAAAGGCCGGATGAATACCACCTTAAAACCAAACGAAGTGAAAGTAACAGCAGTACTACTGGTCGTTAGAAGGACTGAAGAGCACTTTCCAATACCAGCAAGTTTGAGAGATCTGACAGAGATCTGAAAGACCTTATACTTATAATTACTTATATAATATATTTATCCTTATCTGACGTTGTCTGTATCTCTCGCATCTCTGGGCATCTGGTTTCGCATCCTCACAGCGACAGGCCGGCGCCATATGCTTACGTTCCCTACAGATGCCGAAGCAGAGCTTGGAGCCTAGATCCGACTTCGGAACAAACGTGACTCTCAGCAGAGATTTTCAAGGGGAAACCAAGGAACCATCAGGAACCGCTTGGTACAGCAAACAAAAGGATGCAATGGGAGGTAATAGCCGATGGCGCTCTAGCAAACCTTGATTGAAGCCCGTTCAGACATTACTGGCCAAGGCCATTTCTACCATGCTGCTCTTTGGGTCCTTGCCCGAATTCTGTAATTCCTTTGAAACGAAGAAAAAACATGCTGTTTGAAATGAGTTGCATATTCAGCAGCGCTGCGTGAGACCTTGATGCGCTTGAGAGCAAAAGCAAACATCATTGGATTCGGGTCACGTGAAAGATCATGACCTGGCCTGAACCATGGAAAAGATACCAGTCATATCCATTCATGCCTTGCATATGCACTGATTTTGCTTTGACGATTGTTGTACAGTAGAATTATGTCTTGATGCGAACCTCGTGCGACACATATGTCCTATATTGTGGTTTGGTGGAAAGTTGGTTCCAAACATTTCTAAACCATGTCCTTGTGCTCAGGTCTCTATGTCAGTTTTGGCAAACGCTTCTTGTTCGCATGTCCATTTGCTTTCTTGCACCAATTGCACGTCTCTGAACGGGAGCACCATAGATGCTACAGTAGATGCTTGGTGCAACCATGCAGTGGAAATCAGTGGAACTTAGGTGGCATTCAGCTTTAACATTTCGGTGCCAATCCACACCCTCTTTCGATCCTGCAATGTGATCGCTTCAGTTCTACTCGGGTGCGCCAATCCTCGTCAAGGGCCCTCAAAGGATATCGTTCTCATGGTTGTTTATGCATGTTTATGCAAGCCGTTGGAGCGACTCTGCAGCAAAAGAAAATGAAAGGCACATTAAAATTGATCACGCAGTGCCCAGAGGTACGTGCTCTTTGGTCAACACTACTCTGTGAAGCAGCTGGTGTGTGTCTTCTTTATCACTGCCTGAAACTGAGTGGCTGTTCTGATAGTCGTTCTAGATTGTCGAAGACCAACTGCCTCAGTATGAATCCATCGAGCGCTGTCACTTAGGTCGGCATTTTTCTAGGGAGTGTTGCCAGGAAGCAAGCAGGAGATTGGTGGTCTTCATGTATCCATCTCATCTCCTGAATTTTAAAAGCATTCTGGATCCTACTCGTACAGACCGGAGCCACCAAGTAGTTAACCAAGTAGTTTAGTTTGGGCCAGCAGAAGTGCAAGCAGATGACGGGGTCAGAGTGCGACTGAGTGCGACAGTCACAACAGGCTATTCTGCAGGACCCCTTTGAATGAATTGACTTTCGGATACTTTACGCATCGTTAGGCCGTAGGCCATGATTGGCGTCCTTTTGCTCCAGCTTCTTGAAGAGCCGTTGATGCCATTGTTGAATTCACAGTGACATCAGAATCACTGGGAATCACTAGGGGCTAGGGTCAAGAAAAAACACGAACAAAAACTTAAACTCGCACAATGATGCAGAATCTGAGGTTGGAGATGCAAAGCAGTTTGTTGGCTGTCCGAATTGTGATGGCCCAGGTGCAGATAGCTCTTGCGTGAATCAATGACTCATGCATGACATGGTCACCGAGTCACCAAGATGCAGGTGCATCAACTGCGACCGTGTCGGATGAAGGCTTCATGAGGCCCGCAGATGATTAATATATATATATATATAGATAATATATATATATATACATACACATATTAATTAATTAATGATACATAATGTATATATATATAATGTTTTTGCTATTCTTTGCCAAGGCTTCCCTCAACTTGTCGCGCGTTGCAGACAGGTCTTCACTGACCGGAGGGACAGTGATTGCAAGAGTCCCATCTGCCAGGGCATCAGAAACCATCAGAAATCATCAGAAATCATTAGAGTATATCACTGTACTAAGTACTCCTGCTTCAAACATCTTCAAACAGAACTTGCTGAACTTCTAGCTTTTGTATGGTTTTTTGATTTTTTGTATGCTTTTGTCGTATCGTGTCACTCTTTCAAGCGATCCCAAATCAGGTGGAGCATTGGAATCGCTCTGCTCATCTTTGTACAGATGCTTCAAGGATTCCTTGGACACACCCAAGCAGTGCTATACAAGTGCCTTGGTCAGGATTCCAATTGATGCAACGCTGCCCTTTGGTTCCCATCCCAATTCTTTTACTGTATATTGTTTTGTGCCATGTGCACATTTTATGTACAAAAGTCCTGCGGGAGCCGTGAAAGTCACGCAGGCGTCATGCGAACTGTGGGACAAAGAGTGAGCTCGCAGAAGAGTTCTTATTCACTTCTCATTTGGACACTTGGCTTATCTTGGCGTACATCCATACCAGCTGATAGAGAACTGCGAATGACAAAGCCACGAGAGGACCCCAGCAGCAACGACACACACACATATATATATACAGTATACATACATCTATATATATACATATATATATATAGATAAGATTATATAAGTCAGATGTATCGGCGTTTGCAACAGACAGAAGTCTGTTGTCACATGTTTCTTGAGGCACCACCTTGGAAACCAGGCCCAAAGAGCTTTTTGGCTTCACCACGACCAGGTGACCTTCTTCCCATTTATATTCTTGTGGGACGACGTCATGTTGGCAGGAAGGCTTGTCACTCAGACTTATGAGCAAAGAAACGGCAGTACAAGACATGGAAATATAGAAGACAGAGAGCACATGGAAGGTTGAGGAGGGGACCACAAAGGCAGATCAAGCAAGACATGGAGGCAATGAGAGCTTTCATGAATAGATTTGCTTCGCTCTTGGATGATTTGTAGCAACTTAAAGGTTTCCCACTTCCGAACTACTTCCCAAAAGCTCCAGTGAAAATGAGGCTTGCTTTGGAGTCTGCTCCGCTGAGCAGCAGCCTACCAATTCCGACTCAGTTCTTGCCATCTTCTCAGAGCTCAGCTGCTCGAACGCTGAGTCCTGATGAGACATGATGAGTAAACGCTGAGTCCTGATGAGACATGATGAGTCTGGGGCATGTGCATTCAACGTGGATCATGTGAATCATGTGGGCTCAAAACTGGCAAAATGTTGAGGCATGTTGAAGCTGCCCTTGTTCTCATTTTTGCTCCACTGGCTCTCCTAATGAACTTACATGATTTTCCGCCAGATTCTTTCTGGCCAACAATCTGTGCCAGCTCGTTTGCATAAAGGGAGCCTGACCCTCAGAAGAAAGATCCTGAAACATCCTAAAACAACAACAACAACGAGAAGAACAACGAGAACAACAACGAGAAGAACAACGAGAAGAACAACGAGAAGAACAACGAGAAGAACAACGAGAAGAACAACGAGAAGAACAACGAGAAGAACAACGAGAAGAACAACGAGAAGAACAACGAGAAGAACAACGAGAAGAACAACGAGAAGAACAACAAGAAGAACAACGAGAAGAACAACGAGAAGAACAACGAGAAGAACAACGAGAAGAACAACGAGAAGATCAACGAGAAGAACAACGAGAAGAACAGCGAGAAGAACAACGAGAAGAACAACGAGAAGAACAACGAGAAGATCAACGAGAAGAACAACGAGAAGAACAACGAGAAGAACAACGAGAAGAACAAGAAGAAGAAGAAGAAACAGAAGAAGAAGAAGAAGAAGAACGACAACAACAACAACAAGAACAATAACACGAACACGAACAAGAACAATAACAACACCAACAAGAAGAAAAAGAAGAACAAGAACAAAAACAACAAGAACAAGAACAAGAACAACAACACCAGCAGCAACAGCAACAGCAACAACAACAAAAACAACCAGGGTTCTTCACTCAGACCACTGACAACCAGTTGTGATTTGTGTGAAATAATGTAAACAATAATCTATAGGATAACTGATGGATGCGCTCAAAAGATCAAGTCAAGTCTCACACACGCGGCGAGATTTCACTTTGACGTGCGGTGCCCTAGGTGTTTAGACTCTCTGCCCATTTCTCTCCCTTGACTGTGAACATCACACTCTCGGTGAGGCCTTGGGTTGTTTGGCATTCCCAGTCAATTCCTGGCTCATGATTCATGATGCTCATGTTTTCTTACGAAGTCTTTGGATCACGTGCGATCGTTTTCACGCCAGGAAATTCCTGTCTGTCGTGGTCTCGATCATTTGGTTCGGAAATGCCTGGACAAATCTCCACAGCATTGCCACCGTGGCAATTTTTGGTGCTGCCCTCAAAGCTAGACAAGAGTATCGTAGCAATGGGTCCACGTGCTTGCCAGGAAACGGATCGAAAGTTTCATAGTACGATCTATATACTCGGCACGAATCGGAATGAATTCATAGGGTCGCAGAGAAAACAGATGAAACCAGATTACATCAGATGTATCGTATCAGCTGCCTGGATGCATTTGACTGTGGCAGTAAGCTTGACCGAGCCAAGCTTGTGTCAGGAGGTGTCTTTGCATATTCCCAGTGCAAGCCTGTCATGGCCGATATGAAAGACAAGGACCGAAACACTCCCATTACTCCGCTCGTCTTGGTTGATTCAGTTCATCTCTCTGTCTCGTGTGAAAAAACTTGCCCATTTCGAGTAGTGAGTAGTGAAATGTAAGAAGCCAACAGCAAATCAGAGGCGCACTGGATAATCTTGACGGTACTGTAATGAACTGTAAACCCTGCTTACTGATCTTTGCTGGCTCTATTTGATTTGCTGTCTTGCTGGCGGAAACTCCTGACTCCTGACTCTTTGGCTGCTGCTGCGGCTCCGGAAACATTCTTCATACTGTACTTATTTTTTCTCTTTGTGTGGCCTTTGCCTGTACGCGATACTTCGCAGATCATCGTAGCACATGAGTACTGTCCAGTTTGATTCTCATTTCTTTGTGTAAGATGATCAGTAAAGCCTTGAATATCCTTGAATCAGATTCATATCCCAACAGTAGGTCACAAGATGATGGTGTGTGAAGTTCAGGAGCCTCCAGGCCACAAGATGTTGATCTTCTCTCTTCAATTCGTGGGATATACCGTGATGCCAGTACATAGCTCATGAATAGAATTTGAATAAACCTGTATGTTCCTGTATGTTCCTGTATGTTCCTGTATGTATGTATTCCTGTATTGGATAAGAGAGCCTACAAAGTAGCCCGTGGCACTGATCTCATTTCATGCCAATTGCTATAGGAGTGTGTAGCATGTTTGGAATTGATGGTAATCATGAGCTCTTTGGAGGACTCGAAAAGAGATTGATGCTCAAAGAGAAGCTGTGCAAAATGATGAATGGCGGAGAGAGGCTGTCGTGATCTGTAGTGCAAGCCGGAGTAGCCGTAGTAGCCGTAGTAGCCACAGGACTACAACTGCGCCTGGATTGCCCGTGGTACTTCCTTGATTGGGGGCACTGGGGGCACTTGACTCTTATGATAGTCATGATCTCTTCTGATCTGTCATGCTATAACTATGCTATAGCCTTCCAAGAGGAAGTACCGCAGTGTGCACGGGGTCAGCATTCACACAGTATGGCATTATGACCTTTCTTGCCTCTTTGATGGAGCTTGGTCCAAGAACGCTTGAGCAATCAAAGTTGTTGTTGGGAAAATGCGAAAGCCTTGCATGAAATGGCAAGAAACAAGACCAAGCGACGGCTGGTACTGATTTGCAGACAAGATGCCTTCTTCTCAGACAGACAGAGATAGTCACAACATGTTACAACCCATTTATTGCATGCTTGGAACGATAGGCTTGTTTAAAGGCGCTTCAACAGCACATTAATCCATCCTGCAATAATTAAGCCATACTCGTAATATATTTAATTTGTGAATATATTCACATGGAGCACAGATATTATGTAGCGTATGGCGTGTAGAGCTGATGGTGCTTCCTGGGGTCACTGTGCTTCCAGAGGTGCCAATTCTTTGAGCTGATTCTGGTTGAGTCACATGACACACATGACACACATGACACACATGACACACATGACACACATGACACACACATGACACACACATGACGCACATGACACACATGACACACATGACACACATGACACACACATGACACACACGCACACATGACACATGTCTTGAATTGCACCTTTTGAACCCTTTTGATACATTTTGTTGATTTGGAGACCAGTCCTGGTAGTTTGCATGTGAGCACTTCATCTCAATCCTTTGGAATTTACACATGCAATCCCTGTTTGGCCCTGGCTGGAAGATCAAACATGAACCTAGTTGTTTCTAGAACACGGCCTCAAGTCAAGCACTTTGAATGTCTTTCGAGATGTCCTTGCCGGAGGGATCTCAACAGCTGCTGTTTCAGCTGTGCTGAATCCGATCGATGTGGTCCTAGTCCAAGTGGCAATTGGAAAGTGAGCCAGTGAAATCTGAATGTTGGCAGCACCGGTTTTGACTCGTCGTGTTCAAAATCAATTTGGCATGGAAAATCACAGGTTCTGATGGCTAGAGTTACTTTTGCCTGATGGGTAGCGCGATGCCAGCATGAATCATTCCTGGGCTGGGCTGTCCCTCAGAACTCAGACACATGACGAGAACTATGGACCATGGCTGCATACTACGTACTAGTTGACTAGATAAATCTCCAAAGCAATTTTGCACACCTAGAGAGGCATAGATGTGCATCGATGCCCTGTAAAAGCACTGCCTTTGAACGAGTGTAAATGATACCAAAGCAATACGAGAATTACGAGAACAACCGAGAAACAACCATAGCCATCCCGAAGTTGGAGGCCTGATTAAGAATGGTATGTGAAGGCTAAGTTTTTGCTTTGTCCGTTTTCTTACAGAATTACTGTAATGGATATGTTATGAATTATTATGAACTGTTACCAGTAGTACCGCACAAGGCGGTGGCGGAAGTTTCAAGGATAGGACACTATAGGAGAGGTGAGTTGTTGTGATGCATGGATGGCAGAGGAATCCACTGATGGATTGAAAGGTGGTTGGAGTCGGAGTTGTGCTTTTTGGAGTGGTTGCAATGGTTTCAGCGGTCGCCTCACTCACAACTCCTGGATGTAGTGTGGTGTAGTGCAGTAGTTGTAGTTGTAGTTGTGGTTGTAGTTGTAGTGGGGTTGATGTTGTTGAAGTTGTAATGTTGCAGTTGTAGTTGTAGTTGCAGTTGTAGTTGTAGTTGTAGTGGGGATGAAGCGTAGTTGAAGCGTAGTTGAAGTTGTAACTGTTTTATTTTTATGTAATTGTAGTTGCAATAGTTGTAGGATTTGTAGTTGTAGTTGTAGCTGTAAGGTAGTTGTAGTTGTAGTTGCAGTTGTAGTTGTAGTTGTAGTTGTAGTGTAGTTGTAGTTGTAGTAGTTGTTGTAGTTGTAGTGTCGTGGCAATTGTTGTTGTAGTAGTGTAGTTGAAATTGAAGTCGAAGTTGTAGTTGCAGTTGCAGTCGTCGTGTAGCTGAAGTTGTAGTTGTAGTTGTATTTGCAGCTGTAGTTGCAGGTGCAGTTGTAGTGTAGTTGTAGTAATTGTCGCAGTTGTAGTTGTAGTTGCAGCTGTAGTTGCGGTGGCACTTGTAATTGTAGTTGTGGTTGTAGTAATTGTACTTGAGGTTGTAGTTGTAGTTGAAGTTGTTGTTGTGGTTGTAGCTGTAGTTCTTGTAGTTGAAGTGTAGTTGAAGTGTAGTTGTAGTTGTAGTGGTAGTGTAGTTGTAGTTGTAGCTGAAGTTGTAGTTGTAGTTGTACTGCGGTGTAGTGCAGTTGCAGTTGTCTATCTATCTGTCTATGTATCTATCTGTCTATCTATATTTCTGTTTATCTATCTGTCTATCTGTCTAATTAATCTATCTATCTATCTATCTATCTAATTAATCTATTAATCTATCTATCTATCTATCTATCTGCAAGTTTGAAAACAAAGCTACTCTGAAAGACTTCCTCAACTTTTGAACTTGACAACGTCATAAACGAAGCAATTCTGCGAGACTTCCTCAACTTTTGAATGTGACAACGTCAAAAACGAAGCAATCCTGCGAGACTTCCTCAATTTTCGAAATTGACAACATCAAAAACGAAGCAATTCTGCGAGACGTCCTTCAAAAATGGAAAGTTGAGTGCAGAGCTGACGGCCTCGTACCAATGCGTTTTGCGATTTTTCCACTCCACCTGTCTAAAGCACTGCGCCTGCCACGAAAAAGTGATGCCAGGTCACACCAAGTGCTGCACCTGTCACGCAAAAATACCTTCCCAAAAATGAAGATCTGATGCTCCAAAATGCAACCCCTCTCAGGAAATCAGCGCCCGGACCTCGTAACATCTCTGATGAACATGTCTCTTGTACTGCGCCTGCCACGGAAAATGCATCTTTGCAGATCCTCTTCAAATGTCCACGCCTGCCATCGTTTTTGGACATGCTACAAAAACCCTCACAGTGCACAATCATGCACAATCCCTTGCGCCTGCCAGGCGAAACGACATCTGAACGCCCAAAAGTGGTCCGAACGTTTTTAACATTTTGACTTGGAAATGTGCTTCGCGCCACAACGGCGTGCACTTTTTCGACATCGCAACTTCCAAAAGTGGTCCGAGCATGGTGTGTCTTCCAAACGTGCTTCGCACCACAACGGCGTGCACCTTTTCGACATCACAACTTCCAAAAGTCGTCCGAACTTGGTGTGTTTTGTACATTTTGACTTCGAAATGTGCTTCGCGCCACAACGGCGTGCAATTTTTCATCTCTCATCTGGCCAGCTGGAGCCACAAATCACTGAAAAAAACATAGTGTTTCGCGACTTTCCTACCTTTTCGCGCACCTGGATCTTCTTCTTCTGAGACTTTCTCTTTTTTGATCTTCTTTCTTCTTCTCTTCTCTTTTCATCTGTCCATATTGTTGGAAATTTTACTTCTAAACTTCCTTCGATGACATGTTATTGTACAGCAGTGACACAATATGTATCAAGTGATTCAATATGTTATAAGATGTTTATGTCGCGGATCAATGTCGTTACTTTGCTGAAAAATCACGGCCCCAGGTCAAGACTCGACGTCAAGTTGGCATTCCTCGCACCGCAATCCAGGAGGAATCAGTTGGAGTCAGTTGGGTGTACAAAGCACTTCTCCCCAAGAAAAACAATTTGAAACTGGGAGATTTTTTTTTGCATCGCGAGGTACTATACTTATGACATGATAAATATCTGAAACATCAACAGCAGAAATTAGAGATAATCAGAGTATGTCGAGTCATGTCAGTTGTCGGATTTTGTCGGATAAAACTGATCAAACCAGAACACTGCTGATTTGACTTGAAGGCTTTGGTGGCTTGGAGAGAGAAGGGTGCTTGGAGAGGACTTTGGAGGTTGGACCTCATGGTCCACTCATGGTCTTCATGTGGACGTGAAAATTGTTGTGATTAAAATTCCGAATTTGTCTAACTTGTACGTGCCTGGTTAGTATTGTGCAATTCTATTTTTGTCATATTAATAGAGCAGGCAAATCTAGGAGGCTTCGGAATTCGTCATTACTTCGCTGTAGCCAAACATACAGTAGAAAGTGGAGACTGTTCAAAAAAATATGCTGGGATGTTGAATCCATTTGTAAGATATGTTTGAGCCGCTTATTTTTTTTTGACAAACCTGTTTAATACACTGTTTATCGCGATTGCCTAGGCCTGGATTGACGGCCTCTTTGGTGCGTGAAATGCTCTCAGCCCAGACAAGCTTACGTAGAATATCTTCGAATGGTAGACATATTATGACATATTCGAAGATATAATTCAGACATGTGTGCATTGTGTGCTTGGTCCATCCCATGTCGTGAACAAGTTCCTTGCTCCTTTCACAAGGGTTATGACATGCGTGAGCATATGGCATGTCTCAGCTGATGCTGCAGCGTTGTCATGGGGCCAGCTTTCACGCGTGAACTTGCGAGAATCAAGGTTATACAGCGGCTGCACGAAGGGCTTGTATCCTCTTGCCAGAGATTTGGCAGGGCACCCCAGGCACCAACTTTTTCCAGTTGCCCACACCATAGCACGCCATGCTGAATGTCATTTGTGTACAGTCTCAAGGCTTGGCAGACACATTGTCACTTCTCAAGAATCAAAGTGCTGGTCATGCCTCACACGTCTCACATGTCTAACGTGTCACATGTGAAACTGCTAGAGGTGCCTCCCACAGATGCGGAGCCTGGATTAGGCCTGGACGGAAAACCATCCGTTGAAACGCCGCGAAACGGCGCTTCTGATCCCACGTGTTTTATTCCACTGCTCAGTTCGAAAGCTGGGCATGTTGATTTGCACATTGTTCATACTTGGGCAAAAGTCGATGCCATTAGTTGCTAGAATATGCTATAATGAAACATGATTATAAATGATCATTATTATATATTCATAATGTCAATGAAATGTGGATGAAATGTGAATGAAATGTGAATGATTGCTACATTGACA